ACACAAAAAAAAAAAAAAAAAAAAAAAAAAAAAAAAAAAAAAAAAAAAAAACTAAGGCTGGGCACCGTCTGAATTAGGGAGACACCCCAGGGAATCTCTGATATACACTATTGCTAGCGTGAGGGCTAAATGCCTAGAACATAGCATGAAGGTCAAGAAGTATGACTCCATCAGGACCGTGAGCAATAGCACAGAGCCAAGCAGGAGACTGCCACCTAACTTAGAACACCTAAAAATAGAGTTCAGTCCTCCAGGCTTCCGGTGGCCCTTCACTACTGGAACTCAGTCTTCATCTGGCTGCATCCTTTCCATTCTTGTTTGGGGGAGAGGCATTAAGCTCTGGATTCCCATCTTTTCTCAACTGAGATGGAGGTTAATTGCCATAGTTTTCCCCTAAAGCTTTGTCATCTATTATCATTTGACATCTATTATATAGGTAGTATTATAAAATAAATCTGTGTGAACAATCCATCACTATTATTCTTAGAACTCACCTCTCTATTGTGGCCACCAAATTCTACATTTCATATAAAGGCACCTTAGACTAGAACAATTATTGCATTCTAATGGTAGAAGATGTGAGAATTTGTAGCAGGTAAGAGCTCAGTTATGTACCTCCGATGTAGAAGATGTGAGAATTTGTAGCAGGTAAGAGCTCAGTTATGTACCTCCCAAAATTCACATGCTGAATATAGAAGGTTTGTATTTGGAGAGTGGATTGGTTAAAATGAAGCCCTTAGTCCTGATGAGTGGTCTAAGAAGAAATTTGGATCCCCAAAGAAATACCAAAGGTAGTTCTGAGGGATGGTTCAGTAGGTTAAAGCATTTGCTGTGCATCTGTGAAAATTTGAGTTCAAATCACAAGAATTCACAAAAAAAAGCCAGATGTATTGGCAAGCATCTGTAATCCCAGATCTCCTATAAGACAGATGGGAGGCAGAAACAGGAGAACCCACAGAAGTTCACTAACTTCATGTATATATCATAAAAACCACTGACTCAAAGATATAAGGACTGACCCCCAAAATTGTCCTCTGACCTCTACAATGCATGTCACAAAGGCACCCACATTCACACATGAGGATGTGTGTGCAGCTGTCTGCACACACATTGTATGCACACAATAAGAAAGAAAAGAAAGAAATATTGGGGATGTGTGTGAAAACAGTGAGAAATAAAGCCAGTCCCATGGCCTCCCTGACCTGAGACTTACAGTCTTCAGAAACCTGAGAAGGTAAATCTCTGCTGTCTAGCCTGCCTGGCCTGTGATATTTTGTCATATACAGTGACATTCTCAAGTAGCAAATCACATTCCTCAAAGAGGAAGGCAGAGGTTTCACCATTTGAGAGCACCAAGGGTCTGCAAAGATGGTTCAAGACAAGCAAATTTCAAGGTTGGAGAGGCAGCTCTTCAAAGTCAACAGGAGTCTGTGTAGACAACAACTGCTTGGGAGTCTGTGTAGACAACTGCTTCCCAGTACATGCTTATTCACACACTGGAAGTAAAGAGGTATTACAGCCTGCCTGGTGTCAGGGAGAATTTGTCTTCCTATTTCCCAGCTGAGACTTTAAGCTCTTGGGGCATCTGTTTCATCATCTCTCTGAGAAGGGTCAATACCAAAGGTGACAGTAAAGATTAACGAGCCAGGCAGGGTCTGACACAGATCTGTAAGCCCAACTACTTGGGAGGCTGATGCAGGAGGATCATAAATTCAAGGCCTGCCTACTCTAACTCTAACCTAATTCTAGTGATTTAAATGCTAGCCTGCACAACTTACTGAGTCCCTTTCTCAAAATACAAAGTAGAATGAGAACTAGGGAGATGATAGCACGATGGTAGAGAGGAGCACTTGCCTGATGTGTGCAAGTCCTTGGGCTCAACCCCAGTATGGAGATGCAGGACATGTGGGGGAGCACGAAAGAGGAGCACCTACCTGGTGCCCACCAGTTGATAGGATACAAAATGAGCGATTCTGATGAATTGCTCCTTCCTCACATACCTCACACTTGGTTTAGGTGACAAAATGAGCAGTCCCCCAAGATGATCTCGAAACAGGTAACTATTTTTTTTTTTTTTTTGGTTTTTTGGTTTTTAAAACAGGGTTTCTCTGTGTAGTTTTCGAGCCTATCCTGGCACTCACTCTGGAGACCAGGCTGGCCTTGAACTCACAGAGATCCACCTGCCTCTGCCTCCCGAGTGCTGGGATTAAAGGCATGTGCCACCAACGCCCGGCTCATTTCAAGATTTAAAGAAAAAGATCTCATGACTTCCAAGCTATGGAGACTAGGAGAACCTTCCATTTCTTTTGTTTTTGAGTTTCATACATGGATACCATATTTACATCATTTTCACCCACCCTTCCCAACCTTCCATTTCCCCCACGACTCCCTCACCCTCTCAAACCCATGACCTCTTCTTTATTAGTGATACATTGTATTAGTGAATGTATACATATTCCTACCTCTACCTCCCAAGTCCTGACAGGTAGGCATTGCCCAGTTTATGTGGTGCTAGGAATCGAACCCGGGGCTTTATGCACACCAGGAGAGCACTCTACCAACCAAGACACATTCCCAACCTTCAAGTCTGATTTTAAAACAAACCAAAAGCTTGCAAATATATGAGATTCTCACTCTAGACAACTGAAACTTCTAAAATTTATGCTGTAAAGAGTCAAGAATTGGCTGAAGACGAGGAAAGAGACAAGGAAAACAAATAAAATCATCTAAAAATTCAAATTGTAAGGTTTACAGAAATAACAGCTGGCAGTCCTCTGTAGCCAAATGAGAGCTTCTCGGCAGACTCTATCAAATCCGTAGAATGAAAATCCTGGCTCCAGATTCAAACTGAAAACCTGATTCTACCCCTGACAGCTACATGCTACTGAACTCCTGCCCTAAATCAATAAGAATAATGGCAGGCCCCTGTGGGATAAGATAAATGAAAAACCAGCTTTTCTTTATTGCCATCGCTCGTGATAAACAGCTTGGGCCTTCTAGCACACAGATTGTATTTCCAACGTCAGAGAGAGCATCTCTTACACAAACTTGGTAATAGCCTCCTGGGAACTATGGGCATGCCTCTTTCAAAGAGTGGAAAATCTTTGATGGATGGAAGAGAGAGTGAAGAGATGAGAGAAGGCAAGAGGAATCAGCTGAGCGGGTGTTCACCATCAAAGTGAACAAGTTAAATCTTAGTCTCATGAGAAGACAATACAGTGTCATAATGTCCCAATCTAAATGCCACTAAAACTCAGCACCAACTGTGTGTCAAATGCCTCTCCCACTTTAACCTTCAGAATAATCCAGTAGGATATTGAACCTGTACATGCAGAAACTGAGGCTGTGATAAAGTGACCCACCAGAGACCACAGAGCCAGGAACATGGGAGAACTTGTCCTTCCCTCCATCTTATCCCTCAAAAGTGGAAGAGGGAGGTTACTCCTTGCTGTGCCTGCATTATCCAAAAAAGAATTTGAATCTAACAAGACCTATTCTTTCAGAGTTGGCAAAAGAACCCATGATAGGCATGCTGTGAGCTGTATCCATAGCCCTCATACTTTCTTCCTGTCAGTAGTTGTACAATCTCTTCTTGTTCCTGGTTTCCTTCTACTCATACTCGCAGACCGTGGAAAAGCAATCCCTCCCTACTCTCCCCTTAATCACTAGCCTTGCAATTAACTTGGAGGGTTAGAGCATCGGGCTGTCTAATCTACACACACACACACACACACACACACTAGTACCCGAGACTCTGACAATACAGTCTGCCATCTGGGGGATTTCTCCTGATGGCACCTCCTCAGTCTGAAGTTTTACTTCTCAGTTCATACCCCCAAACAATTCCTCCTAATATTAACTAATCTTCAGCATACATATTACCCAGCCGGTTCTTATATGTCCCTTGGAAATCACTGGTCTAAAGACTCACTGAACAGATTCTATCCCAAATAGTCGATGTCTTCAAACAGCTTGCCATACCAGAGACATGTATTCATATCTAGGGACACCTAGCAATAGAGAAAGCAGCATGCAGTAGGTGTTCAAAAAATAATTATTGTGCAAGCACATACACAAATATATATAATATATGTGTGTATATAATAGTAACTATATAAAAATAATAATTTAATATAAATATATATTTGTAAGTATGTAAATGATAATATATAATTATATATAGTACATAATGATATGTTATAAAGAATAATAATAATACAATAAATAAGTAGCAATTTTTCAAATTAGAAGTAATTTCTTCAAAGGAAAAGAACAAAGCAAGAATACTCAATGCTACCTATCACTACCTTAATGCAACACTGCAAGATCTTGTCCTATTTAACACAGAAAGTCAGGAGAGAAGGAGGGAGGGAAAGGAGACATCAAATGACAGTTCACAGAGAATGTAATGGCTACTAGAATATCTGAGGGCATGTACAATTCAATATGTATGGAGGTCGAGGGGTTAACTTGCCATGGTCACTTCTCTACCCTGCCATATGGGTTCCAGGGATCAAATACAGGTCATCAGACTTGGTGACAAGTGCCATTTCACCAGGCTCCTGATCTGCAGCTCAGCCTGGCCTCAAACTTACAACAGCCTTGCCTCAGCCTTTTGGGTGTTGAGATTATGGGCATGGCAATTGTCAGACAAAAGGAAATGTTAATATTTCTAACTTCACAATGCTGTTTATAGGGTCTAGCAGATATGTTTTAGTAGACCAAAAGATCTGTTCTGTTTCTACCTGTTAATAACTTACTTAAAAATCTATCAGCATATATTCATTGTGCATAGTGATGGGTTTCATAAATTCAGATATATTATCTACTTTGACCATAACCATCACATACCTGCCCTGTCTCCCCTTCACCCTCTCCCACTAACTTCTTCCCCAATTAGACTTTTCTACTTTTCTACTTTGAATATACATACATATGGATACAAGTACACATATACACATCCCATGTATTAAAGAGACTATGCAACAATCAAAATAATAATTCTTAGATCCTGTCTCAAAATAATAATAATAATTCTTTCTTTTTAATTTTTTAGATTTATTTTATGTGTTTAGTTGCTTTGCCTACATGTATGCTTGTTCACCACATAGTTACAGTGCCTAAGGAGGCCAGAAGAGAGCATTGGAACTACTTGCAGCTGGAATTACAGGTCATGTGGGTGCTGGAACTAGAACCCAGGTCCTCTGGAAGAGTCAGTACCTTTAGCTGCTGAGCCACCTCTCCAGCCCCAATAATAACAATTCTCCAGGTGGTGGCACACCCCTTTAATCCCAGCACTCGGGAGGCAGAGGCAGGCGGATCTCTGTGAGTTCGAGGCCAGCCTGGTCTCCAGAGCGAGTGCCAGGATAGGCTCCAAAGCTACACAGAGAAATCCTGTCTCGAAAAACCAAAATAAATAAATAAAATAAAAATAAAAATAAAAATAAAAATTCTGAAGATGTAGCTTAGTGGGTAGGAAGCTTGACTAGCATAAAGACCTGGTTCCACTCCCAGCATTGAATGAACTGGAAGTAGTGGTGTGCACTTGGAATCCTAGATCTTGGGGTAGAGACAGGAGTTCAGACGTGCAAGGCCATTCTCAGCTACAGGCAAGTTAGAAGGGCCAGCCTGGGCTACATGAGATGCTGTCTCCAAAAAAAAATGGGGGCCTTTTTTTAATAAAAAAATAAAAAGAAAGTAAACCTCTTTTGAAAACAAAATCTCCCCAATCATCAAGAAACTTGCCTCTAACTCTACATGTGGAAGTTCACATTAGTAATTCAAAGTATGGACTTGGGAGGCCAAGACAGTTTGAAGTCAGTTCAGATGTCAGATTGGCCCATACCAAGTCCTGAGTTCCAGGCCAGCTTGGGCTATAGTGTGTGTGTGTGTGTGTGTGTGTGTGTGTGTGTGTGTGTGTGGTATGGTGTATGTGTGTTGTGTATGGTGTGTGTGTGTGTGTGGGTGTGGGTGTGTGTGTATAGTGGAGCTGGGTGTATGTGTATGGTGTGTGTGTACATGGTGTGTATATGTGGTGTGGTGTGGTGTGATGCGTGTGGTATGTGTGCTATGGGGGGAGGCATGTGTGCATTGCTTGAGTTTAAATTCATACACACGTGGAGAGAGAGAGAGACCATCTCTGGAGTTTCTTTCTGCTCTAGATAGAAAACTCAGGGCCCTGTCAAACAAGCTGAAAAGGCCTGGATTGGCGATCATCTCATCAAATATAGTCATTTGCCAGCTGAGAACACCGAGGCAGTAACTCCCTCCTTGCCGTATCTTTAGCTGTCCAAAAAGATTAAAGCAAGAGAGGCTGTAATAAGCACCTAGGAGCAAGTGTGTGTGTGTGTGTGATTTCCCTTATCTAGTTCTCCAGTGCCCAAGAAACTGGCTCAATCACTTCAGGACACATGCTGCAGAGAGGGGGTCAGCTGCTGCATGTGGAGTGAACATGGTAGAACGGCTCACAGAGGGAGGAAACTAAAACCCAGAGCATGTGTGACAACACTAGGTAATGACGATGAGAAGAAAGAACAAAGACCTGGAAAGCTGGCTGGCAAGGTGGGACACATCTCTTATGTTAGTGCTTGGGGCCTGAGGCAGCAGGTTGCAGAGTTCAAGGCCAGTCTGAGCTACATAGTGAGATGCCATCTTGGGGGGGGGTCGAAGAATGGGACAGACTGTCGATAAAGAATCTAATATAGCTTCAAAGATTCATTAAAGAAATAGCCACAAAGAAAAGTCCAACAAGAATCCAGAGGAAAACCTTAGTTAGCAGGCAGCTGTGGGGTAAAGATATATATCTAGGAGCCACTCCTTTACTATGAAGGAAGAAGGGACAGCGCCAAGTCCTTTGGGAGAACAAAAAGCACAAGCCAAAAATAACGCACAGCTGTAGGTGGTAATAGAGAAGCTGGGGAAACAAAGACAGGGACTCTAAGCAACCATACTATTCATTTAATCATAGCAAACACACAGAGCACCTAACACACACGGGCACCTTGCAGAGGGCTCCACCTTGCTGAGGGCTCCCTGTCCTATGTATTTTTACTCTTAAAAACAACTATGTGGAGGCGGGCGTTGGTGGCGCATGCTTTTAATCCCAGCACTCGGGAGGCAGAGGCAGGCAGATCTCTGTGAGTTCGAGGCCAGCCTGGTCTCCAGAGCAAGTGCCAGGACGGCTTCCAAAGCTACACAGAGAAACCCTGTCTCGAAAAACCAAAACCAAAAACAAACAAACAAAAAAACTATGTGGAGAGCTAAGTGTGATGTCCCCTGTCTGTAAAGCCAGAACTTGGGAGCCTAAGGTAAGTGGAGAATTTCAAAGCCAGCTAGGGCTCCAAGAGTGACAGCCTGTCTTCAAACCAAACCAAACAGACAACAGATGAAAATGATATGCAAATAGGTGTTGATACTTCTATTTGGTAGATGAGTACAATGAAGGAGTCAGATGACCTTGCTAGATCAGATACTGGGAAACTGGGATGAGAGTTAGGTACCAAATCTAGACAAATCTGTACAGCCTACAGGGCCTCTCTTCATTAAGACCACTGCTGTTTGTCACACTTAATTCAAACAAACCTTTCAACTCAGCATCCCACAGCACTTGCCTCCCTACAAGGAGAGGCCTGAATTTTACTAAAGACCCTTATAAACTTCAACTGAAGCCTGTCCTAACACCCTATCTGGGGAATTTGGAAACAAACCCAAGACCAAGCTGAGGCCAAAGAAGAACCTTTGCATTCCAGTGTCCCAAGTTAGATGATGATGATGATGATGATGATGATGATGATGATGATAAATCCCCCAAGACTCCACTAAAATAAAATCAGATTCTTTTTCTGCCACCGGGCCATTGGTTTCTTATCTTGGGCATGAAGTGGAACGTGATGCCTCTGTAGACACAAAAGGACCTCTGAAACCTGGGGCTGTAAAAACTCCAGAGGGAAGTGACAGCTTGCAAGGCATGGGTAATAAATCCGCTGATGCAGCAAACGGCCTAGAGTTCATCTAGTAAGTAAAAAATAGTAGTGATGACAGAACCCAGGTGGAAGGGTTTCTGTGAGGTGGACTGCTGTTCTTGGCTGGGATCAGTGCGACTCTCCCGGCAAATAGAGCCACTGTCTTTCTCGCTACAGCAGACCCTTTGCTCAAAAGACTCTGGCAGTTCTATGTTCAGGCGCCACCCAGCTCCCTAAGTTCTCAGAGCAGCCCGGGCTCACATCCTTCCGCCGCACTCACCTCCAACGTTTTCACCAGGATCTTCATGTAGAACTCCGAGATGCCTAGAGACAATCCGAAGGCCGAGGGCAGCACGATAAGACCGACCACCAGCGTCAGCCAGGTGGATAGGACCTTCACCGCCAGGTCTGCGCCCTCCATGTCTCGGCACGCCCTCCGGGAGAGGTCCCCGGGAGATCCCAAGGCCGTAGAGGGATATCCAAGTCCCAGGCAGTCCCGCACAGCTCCGAAAACACAGGCAGCGACCCGGAGCCAGGCTCCAGGGACTCAGCGCCGCCTGCCTCACTCCCTTCACCTCTGCGGGGAGGGAGAACTCTCAGAACCACAGCAATCTCCTTCCCTCTTCCCCTTGGGTCCCTGTTGTCCCCGAAGGCTAACTCTCCACTAGAGGCCCAGGCCAAGTTGTGACCACCGCAGAGGGAGCAGACGAGAAGACCCAGCTGGCGATCTTGGGGAGAGCCTGGTGAGATCAGAGCTCACGAAGGCAACCAGGAACGCGCCCCACCCCGGGCCTGATTTCCTCCGGGTAGCGATTGCGACAACCCCGCGGTGACTCACCCAGGCCCTCGGGCAGTGAGGATCCCTGCAGGTTCCCTGCACCTTCTGCGTGGGCTACGGGCTATGCGGGTAGCTGATGGCTTGCTTTCGGGTGCCGGGGAGCTCTTTTACTGCACTCTGCCCTTGCCCCACCCCCCTCATCACCCAACTGGGAACTCCCTGGCACGACTGAGTCCCGGGGGCACCGCTGCCTGGGTGAGCCACCGCCCTCTGCCCCGCCTCCCTCCTCCCGCCCCCGTGCCCTGCACTCCCAGCAAAGGTCCTTTTCGGGAGCAGACTTTCCATCTTCACCCACAGAATGGGCCCCTGGTGTCTCCCGGACTCTACGGAAAATCATTTTATAAGCGTACAAAACGGCCGCCTGGGAAAGGCTTTCGGGAGGAGGAGACTGCAGTGCAAAAGTGAGCCCTCACACACCTCCTTTCCTGCCCTGGCCAGCCGCAGGGTTGAATCTTACAGGGAAGAAGAAAGCTCGCTCGTTCTCTCTCCACAAGTCGCCTTAGCCACCCTGCCAACACCTCCCTGGCACAGAATAGACCCAGAAGACCGGAGTGGCAGTGTCGCAGGACTGTAATTCCAACACTTGCACCCAGGAATCAGAGGAGATGAGTCTGGGCTGTTCCAATAGTCCGCCTAGGGCTAAATAACCAGATCCCGTTTTTAAAAGGGCGGGCAGTGATGGGTGGAGGGGCTGGGCTGTTTGTCACTCCCCTCCCTGGAGAGTCCAACCTAAGCTTCCCTTGCATCCACCCACACTCAGAGCACAGACTGCAGAAAATGCTGCGCAAATGCTAACCTTCACCCAACCCGCAAGAGTTTCCCCGGGATCCACGTCCCACGCCGCCGCTATGGTGCTAGCCCTTACTAGAACAAAGAACAAATAATCCTGCACGTGTATTCCACTGCAGCTCAACCAGTTTTAATTAAAACCTGAGAAGGGACACTGAGAACAGTTGTGAGCAAACTGCCCAGGGTCCAGACCATCACTGAATCGGCTCTAAATTCTTCTTAGTAGGACCAAACTCGTTTCACAGTTGACAGTCAGGAATTGTTTTTGGAGTTGGAAAAAGTGGGGAGAGCCAGCACACTGAACGGAGCATGTTAATAGCAAATTTTGCAGAGAAAGCTGTCCCCACCCCCAGGAGTCCTGGAGGAAGAAGAAAACTCTTCTCTCTGCACCTCCTGCCAGTTGCCCACACTCTCCCCACTAGAAACTTGTGAAGGAAAAGGTGTCAGGAACTCACTCTCAAAATGTAGCCTCTGGGGCCAGTGAGACAGCTATCAACAAAGGTGCCTGCTGCCAAACACCATGAACTGTCAGTCTTTGGACCCCTATGGTGTAGGCGTTGAACCAATTTATCACCTGACTATAGGTGTTCACTGGCATGATACACACACACACACACACACACACACACACACACACACACACACACACACGATAAATAAAACATAATTTTAAAGAAAATTGTGTGGGCTGGAGAGATGACTCAATGATTAAGGGCACTGACTGCTTTCCCAGGATCTGGGTTCAATTCCCAGCACCCACATGACAGATAAGAACTGTCTATAACTCCAACATCTGACACTTTCACATAGACAGACATACATGAGGGCAAAACACCAATGCACATAAAATAAATGAATTATTTTAAAAAATTGTGCAGGGCAGTGGTGGCACATGTCTTTATTATTATTATTATTGTTATTATTATTTTGGTTTTTTGAGACAGGGTTTCTCTTCGTAGCTTTGGAGCCTATCCTGGCACTCGCTCTGGAGACCAGGCTGGTCTCAAACTCACAGAGATCCGCCTGCCTCTGCCTCCCGAGTGCTGGGATTAAAGGTGTGTGCCACCAAGGCCCGGCTTGACACATGTCTTTAATTCCAGCACTCAGGAGACAGAATTAGGTGGATCTCTGTGAGTTCCAGGGCAGGATCCAAGGCCACAGAGAAACCCTGCCTCAAAAAAACAAAAATAGATAGATAAATAAATAAATAAATAAATGGTTGTTTTAAACATAATAAATAAATACCAGTCACGCTGAGAAAAACCTGTAATCCCTGCACTTGGGAAATGGAGACAAGAAGACCAGGAGTTCAAGGCCAGCATGGGCTTTCTGAGACCTTGTCTCAAAAACACAAAAAGAAATATTTATGTGCAGAAACAAGCATTTCTGGAAGCTGGCCAACAAATCTCTGCGTCTACATGTGTGTTATCTATATTTAGCTCACAATCTAGGGTTGACTAGCTCCTGTAATATTGTCCAGGTGAAATGCTTAGCCTCCTTTATTTCCTCCAACCAAAAGGAAGAAGGGTTGCTAAATAGTCCACCCTGCAGAGGAAATATACAGGCAGCCCTTGTTTCTGTTTACACACCCTGGTGCTGAGTACACACACACGCTGCACTGTTTTCTTGTTCCTAACCAAACTTGTGAAGTGGCTTTGGTCTGGAGTTTTGTTTAGCAATGGCTCTGTAAACAAAGTTGTATCTGGAAATCAGAAAACTGCTACCTCCTTCCCTCCTGCAATCAGGACACCTTGGCCTTAACAGATCAGCCCTGGACTTTTTACCTTAATGGAAGCCAGAAATTTAATATCAAGGGGTCTGTAACACATGGTCAGGCTCCCCTCAAAGCCCTTGGAGAGAATCTTCTCCCCTTGTCAAGTTTCTATTGTTCTCAGAGGTCTTGGGTTTGGGCAACTCCAGTCTCTGCCCCAGTGTTGATATGACCTTCTTCCTAGGCCCACCTTAAATAATCTTCAGAACCCCTATATCCAAGAGTGTGAGGGGAACGCTCTCCACATAGTAAAGTTATGCTGATGTCCACAGTGAGCAACTAAGTCTCATGATATACTTCAATTACTGGTTTCTTAAAACTCTATTCTATATTTTTTTTCATGAGGGGATCTGGTATTTGAGATAGTCTCTCTAAGCAGTCCTGGCTGGCCTGGAACTCAAAACCAGGCTGGCCTGGAACTCACTGAGAGCCACCTGCCTCTGCCTCCCAAATGCTAGGATTAAAGGTGTGGATCACCACACTTGGCTTCCAATTTGTATTATATGCTGCTTCCAAATCCTCTAATTCTTCCTTAACTGCTGCTTACACAAAATCATTCATTTGTCCTACTTCATTATTTGCAATTGGAGTATAATGTTTCAATTATTTGTTTCACATGACCATCAAGGACAGGGGAGATGTCTTAGCATCTGTTGAACCAAGACCAAGTTCAATCTCCAGGACCCACATCACATGGTGGGAAAAGAAAATTGTCTTCTGACCTCCATATGCATACCTGTACACACACACACACACACACACACACACACACACACACACACGCATGCACGCATGCACGCACGCACGCACGCACACTAAATATAATAAAAAATTAAAATGGGTTCTAAGATGTTAAGATGTTGGGGGCACAAAGGTCCTTGCATCCACAAAGCACTAGGGAACCAGGAATGTTAAACACACAGGGGCCTCTCTTTAGTGGATGAGATAAAATACCTGTTTTCCCACTCAGAAGGCTCAGAGTGCATTTTGTTAATGACTCAGTGACCATTGTGCTATCTGTGGAGCCAGACCTCACCCACCTTCTGCTATAGAACCAGACCTCACCCACCTTCTGCTATAGAACCAGACCTCACCCAAATTTCCCTGACTAATTATCCCAGTCTCATCCCTCCCTAGACCATCCATAGGGGAAATGTCACAAGTCCTTTAAGGCCTGATGACCTCTATGCTCTCAGTCAAAGACCACATTAGATTCTAGCCCTTTTAGCTATAGAACCTACCCTCATGGTCACATGTACTGTGTATAGGAGCATCTCTGTGGACACTCCTTAAGCCTTATTGTGTACCTGGAATTGGACTGGTTGTTGCCTGGAAACCTTTTCCCTAATTGCATTGTTTTAAAATGCTGACGATAGTCTGATCCAGGTTGACAAGGTCAATCTGCACTAGGTTTTCATTCTCACCTCTTCAGTGCTTTGCTTCCTTGTCTGACACCTGCAGGGACACCCCCACCCCCACCCCAGGAGCCATTTGTCCACAGGTACTAAGATGTAAGAAAAGTATGACAGAAGTTCTGAGGTCATTTGCTGAAAGGTTGTAGATGGCAAAGCCACACCCCATGAGAGCATCGCAGATTTTCCTGGGATGCTCTTATCCTTCTTGTCCTTCATCCTGAGATGGAGAGCTTTGAGGCAGGAGATAAGGAAGGGTGTGATGTACCTTTCTGCACAAGGAGGGAGACACTTCCTTCTGACTTGCTTCAAAAACTGGGATCTGAGGGTGGAGGCTATACACCATTGTCATGAGCTGAGACTTCAGCTGTGTTTGTTGTGTGGGGGCCAGAAAAGCTTCTCTAACAAGACATTTTAGTTTTACATTAATCTTTGTTATCCCTGTCTACAAATCTTCTGCAAAGATGGTCAACTGCCAGGCCAGAAACTGCAAACCTGAGAGGATCAGCTGGACTGAGCAGACAGTATTGAATGCTCCCACAACTGCTGAGTGGGAAGTCATTAAATTAGCACTTAGAAGAATGAGGCAGGCGATATTACCGTGGGTTCAAGGCCAACCTAGACTACATAGTGAGTTTCAAAACAGTCTGGGCCACAGAGACTCACCCCACCCTCCCACTCCCACCCCCACCTCGGACAAACAAACAAAAAGCAAGGCTGATGACGTGTCTGAGCAGGTAAAAATGCTTGCTGTACAACTTTGACCACCTGAATTCTATCCCATCTTGGGGAAAAAAAAGGATTAAAAGCTGTCCCCTGAGTTTTACATGAGTGAGCAAGCAGGCCAGCAATGATCTCGGCAAAGCCTATGCTAAGGATGCAGCCCAGTATGTAACAAACAAGGGGCTGGAGAGATGGCTCAGCAGTTAAAAGCATTTGTTACTGTGTCTGAGGACCAGTGTTAAAGAGTCTAGACCCCATG